CTGGCAGTCCCCCGGCCGGTAGTGTGCTCAGGAAGAAGCGCGCCACCTCGCACGGGGAGCCCTGGGGCTGTCCAAACTTGGGGGGCAGCACGGGCTTCTTGCTGCCGAAGACAGGAGCGTCCAGGGGGAAGGGTCCATAGCGGTAGGAGAAGGGCAGGCCACAGGGCGGTGCATACAGGAGGTCACGGCCCTCGGCGTGCAGCTGCTGCTCCTGGCCGGCAGGGGTGCCGGTGGGGGCGCTGGCTCCCCACGCTGCGAGCTGGCCACAGTCCAGTTTGTCCACATGGAATGCGCTGTACTGCTGTGGGCGGAGAAGAGGGGACAGCAGGCCCAGGTCACAGGTCTCTGCAGGAGCTGGACCCACCCCCACACCAGGCCCAGGTGGGGACAGCAGCCCAGCCCCTGGGCAACAAGAGTCCCCACCCTAAGCTGAGAACACACCAGACACAGGTGGACATCACTAGTTCCCAGGGCGCACGAACTACATTACATAGAGAGGGAAGATTTTCATCGTCAGAGTGCTACAAGCTGAGCACAGCGGCATGCACCTGTCATCCAAGCGGCTGGGAAGGCTGAGGCAGAAGTTTAAGACAAGCCTGGGCTCCACGGTAAAGCTCTGCCTCACAAACGCAAAATGTCACAGAAAAAGCACCGACAGGCTTGTAACCACATCTGCATGGATCCCACAGCCCGACGTGTCCTCTCCCATTTGTCACTGTCTACCTGAGTACTGGCTTGCCCCAAGCTGAGCCACTAAGGTGTAGACAGGACATCCCGAGGGCCCCTGCTGCACTCCTTGGGGATCCCTGTGTGTTCAGAAGGTTATCATTCCTTAACATGCCCTGGTGTCAGCCAGGCACACACCTGTGATCCCACCACTCTGGGAGGCTGAGGCAGGAGGACTGCAAGTTCAGTATAGCAACATAGCGAGACTTGTCTCAAAGTGAAGATAAAAAAAGTGCTTGGGATGTAGCTCAGTGTGATGGTCTGGGCTCAGCCTCTAGTACCAGAAGAAAATCAGTCAAACATGCCCCCGTATCCCAAGCCCCAGGAGCAGACAGAGGTCAGCTGTGGCCACCTGGCTTGTTACCTGCGGGGGATAGGGGTTCGTTCTCAGCTTTGTCCTCATCTTCGTGTTTTTGGGTTTAGCAAGTTTCCTAGCTTCTTGTGAGGTAGACAAGGCGGCTCTCCAGGACTCGTGCGCCTTGGGAGTGGACACCTGCTCCAGCGACAGCTGAAGCTCCTTGTACTCGATGTCCCTGGAGAGCGAGAGCGGGGGTCGGTCAGGAGCAGAGGGAGATGGGTCCCAGCACTGCGGCACCTCCAGGCCAGGCGGGGACGGCCGTGACCTGGGGAAGCTGAGCAGACGGAGGCCAGCTCGCTCCAGCCCAGGTGGCCCAGACGTCCCGGTACTGCCAGGACCGTAGGGCCTAGGGAGGCTGCGGGGCAGAAGGACAGGGAGCAGGGCACTGAGGACACTGTCAGGCTTCCCGCTCGATCGTCCTGGAAACGGGTGGGGAACCCTATGGTACATCACGCCGGGCTTCACCCCTGCCCTGCAGAGCCAGCCCCGCAAGGTCCCCGGAGGCCTGGCCCGGGCAGCAGCGTTTCTGCCCCAGCTCTGTCGCAGTCACCCTACTTTTCAGCACTGGGAACCTGCCCATCCTTTTATGGCTGAACCCAGACCCTAAGACTTGCTGCTCTCAGGACATAGATGGGGACACTTCCCGGGTGTCGCAGGGCCAGGGCCAGGTGCAAGGTGACTTAACAGCCACGGGGGAGGAGTGGTCTCCTCCCAGGCAGCTTCTGAAGGCCTTGAAACTACCTGGGACTGAAGCTAACTCTCTGGGTCTTTCCTGCGGAGTGGTCGGGGGATACCACGAATTGAACCCAGGGCCTTCACACTGAGCTACACTCCTGGCCCGTTTTAAAGTTTTGAGACAGTCTTGCTAAGTCACTAGGTTACCCAGGCCGCGCTGGAACTTGTGATCCTCCTGCCTCAGGCTCCCACAGCGCTGGGATTCCAGGCTTGTGCTGCCACACCTGGTACCTCCTGGGGCTTTTAAAGGGCCAAGCGTTCGCCATCATTTGCAACAGCTATGTAGGAAGATGGGACAATGGGAGTTTTCCTCATCCCAAGCGGCAGGGACAGTCAAGATGACCAGCAGGCTGTGGGCACTGACAGACACCACAGGTTCAAATCCTGGCCGGATGTGCGCCATCTCTGGACCCATTCTCAATGGCTCTGTGCTGGGGTCCAAGTTATGCCCAGAAGAGGGTCCCTCCTCAGCATCCCGGGAGCGTAGAAACAGCTGGGACTTCCCCGTGTGACTGGGCTGCCCCGATCCAAACAGAACAGGAGACGAATGTACAGATCAGAAAGACAGAGGGAGGGAGGAGGTGGCACTGTGAGCGGTATGATGAGGGCAGGGCGGGAGAGAGGAGGAAAGAAACAAATACGGCTGACTTACGTGAGGACATAATTGACACTCACGATGCAGTGTGGCCGGGATGAGCGGCTGTTGTGCACCACGGTGGCATAGCTCTGCACCCACACCCAGCCGCCCAGCTTGGACAGCAGCCGGTAGTACTTGGTGGTCACCTGGCCCTTCACCAGCACTGCAAGCACAAGGTGACAGGGGTCCTCAGACCGTGCGGGCCCCGCTCCGGGATGCCACCCCGCCGGTGACCTGCGTCCCCGGCCCAGCCTTTGGGGCCAAGGACACTGAGAACCCCACACCCGGGATCAGTGAGTGCTGTGGGGGGAGCCACCCCAGACGGCACCCAGACCTGCCAGTGAGAACCGGGTTTGCCTTTTAGTATCCAAAACGCCACACATAGGTTCTAATGCCCAAGATTGCTCATGCCACGGGCCAGGCGGGAACTTCAGGGCTGTGCCCAGGTGACAAACTGCTGCTGCTGTGTGTTCATCCCGACCACCCGCATTGCTGGGCACGCTGGCGTCCTATGCTGCACGTGTGGAGCCCTCAGCCGGGCGACACAGTTCCTGAAAACTGGGCCATGGGCCCACCTTCCACGCATGGGTGCGAACTCCAAGCTGCTGAGTGCCCCCCAAAGCCTCTGTGTGCTCATAAACTGTGCTCTCCCCTCCCGGCCTCTGTGAAGGGGTCAGGGGAGGGAAACACCGCGGCTGAGAGCAGGAGCTGCTGTGGGTGCCCCCAGCTGTCCCACCGGCCGTGGGCCCTTCCAGGTGGGGGAGTCAGCAGGGAGCTGTCTGGCTGTACCTGCTCTCTGCAAATAGCTCTGCGTCAAAATGTGTCAGTGCAGGAGAAACAAAGCTTCAAGCAGGACAGTAAAGAAGTCACCCTAATTTATAAAGAATTCATAATGATTAATAAAAACACCAAGACCCTACTTACCAAAAACAAAAAAAGTTTAAACGGGGCATGGTGGCGCATGCCTGAAATCCCAGCACAAAGGAGGCAGAGGCAGGACTGACTGTCATGAGTTCAAGACCGGCCTGGGATACATAGTGAGACCCTGTCTCAACCAAAACTTAATTAATTGATTAAAACCACCAAGATCTTAAAACAGAGCATGAAGAGACAAGTCACCAAAGCACAAACACATATCCTGGCCTTTCACTTCTGTGGCCTGCTGTGTTCACACAGCCAAGGACTGTGAGCATCTGGCGTTCCCTCTTCTGCCTTACACTTTGTACTTGCTCTGATTTCTTACACTCCTAAAAGCTGTCCAGAATCATTTTAAGCCAGCTTATCACAGACATGTTAAGAGTCAAACTGCAGAGATTTTATGATCTCCGCCTTAGAAACGGAGACCAAACAAAGCGGTACATGGATCTCTTTCTTTCTGCTTCTCCCTGACCCAGGCTCACAGCACATCTGGGCAAATGCAGTCCTTGGTCACAACCTTCTCGGCTTTGCTTCATTTCTCCTCCCGCCGTCTGCCATTCTGATTTTTTTCTTTTTTTTTTTTGGTACCAGGGATCGAACTCAGGTCATTGTGCTTGCGAGGCAGGCGGCAGAACCACTGAGCTAAATCCCTGCCCATCTGCCATTCTTAATTGGCTGCCTGGAAGGAAAGTGGGCCGGAGGGTTGCAAAGCTAAGCCTTTCTTACAGGGACAGACAGGGACAGGGACAGGGAGATGTCCCCGAACCACGAACTCCTAGTCCCAGGTGTGCCCCTGTCAGCAGCAGCTCCAGCGTTATGGCCTAAGGCGGTCCTGATTGAGGTGGAAGCCTGTTGTCTTGGCTCTTCCTTCCTAGGCCGCTTTGGGATAGAAATTCTAGCTCCATGAAAATGCTGCGCAAAAGGCAGGCTGCCTTCCCGCTGTCTCCTGAAGTCCCCGCATGGGCACGGCCGGGTCTCAGGCCAGCCTCCGAGAGCAAAGTGCCTTGCTTGGGCCTTGACCTGCCCTCCGCAGTTGACCCGTTTGTGCAGGCTACAGAAAAGGGGCCTGGCCTCTGCTCGGGTTGAAGACAAGGACACTTTGTCATGGGCTGGATTGTGAGCCTGGCCCCGAACTCCTGGGCTCCTCACACCCCAGAACGTGACTACCGAAGACAGGCTTTCAACAGGGATTAAAGCTCATCCATGCACCTGGGTCCTCAGAAGGAGCGACAGGGACACCCGCGAGGACACAGGGAGCAGATGCCGTCCGTAAGCCAAGGGAAAGCAGCGCCGTGGCACTGTGAGCTTGGCCTCCAGGCCTGGGCCACGGTAAGACAAGCCCCTCATCCGTGGGTGTGGCGGTCGGAGCTCACCGAGCCGGTCCCTTAAGATCTGAACAGCAGGTGACAAGCGGAGCTGGGGGACAGGGGGCAGGCCCGGGTACCAACCGAGGAGTGGACGGCGAAGTGAATAGGTCCCCCAGTCCGGGTGAGGACCCTGGCGCCCAGGAGAGGTATGAGCCACGGGTACACACAAGGGCAACGGGGCCGAAGACCCGGAGGGCCGATGAAGGGCTGGCACATGGAAGACAGTGCTGGGCAGGGTGGCCCGCCCTCGGGCCGTGGTTGCACCCCACGGCTGGGGACCCACTTTCCCTGGGGCTTACTGTGGCAGGGCCACTCTGACCTGGTTCGGGTAAGCCGGGAGTCTGTGCTCTCCAGGGCTGCCCTGAGCCCCGACCCACGCAACTGGCATGTGAAGGCTGCGCTCAGCCACCACACAGCAGCCAGCAGGTCCTCCGGGGGGCTACCTCCCCCGGGCTCACTTCTGGTCCCCTCCCCACGTCTTAGTCACCAGACAGTCACCGCGCCTGAAGCCCAGGACCAGGGCTGGCAGCTGGAGTCGAGGAACCCGTGGCAGATATGAGCAGCCCCGGGAAGCGGCCGGCGGGAAGGACAGCAGGCGTCGGGTGGGAGGCGCTTGGTGTCCCGCTGAGGCCCCCGCTGTCCTGGGGGCTGCAGCAGCTCAGCTCCTGGGTGGCACCAGCACTGGGACCCACACCCCAGCCTACACGTGGCAAGCACCTGGGCCATGGCGGAGGCCACACCTGGCTGCCACCCCTCCCGCTTGCACAGGACACAACCAGCAGAGGGGACACTGAGGCAGACACAGGGCTGTCCCCTCAAGCCCTTGAGGTCAGAGCCGTGGGGCAGCAACAATGGCTGTCAATATGGCAGATTTCCACCCCCATTTGGGAAGGACCACCGCGCCCCGAGTCTTCTCTAAGTACCTCCCCGGGCTCCTTTCCTGTCCTGGTTCCCCTAGGACCCTGCTGCATCCGGAAAGGGCAGATTTCCTGTGAGGTGGATGGATTACGGTGCACACCACAGGATGCCACCCAGTGCAGGCAGCAAGCACAGGTACTCAGGAAGACCAGCCCACTTCAGCCTACTGTGGGAACCACAGGAGAAAGGCTTAAGACCAGACCAGCTGCATCCAGGTCGGCCTGACTCAGCCTCCTTGGGGTCTCATGAATCTCTCCTTACAAGGGACCCAAGAACAACACAACTAGCACTGCTGAAGCCTTCGTGGCCTGTCCAAGAGGGGAGTCCCCGCCTCCTCCCTTAGCCAGGCACGAGAGGTAAAAGAGATGGGGACACCGGGGCCAGGCCGCATTCCCACACCACAGATGGAAATGAAGACTTTGGATGCGCGAGTCCCTCTCTGTGTCTGACGTCCAGCCGGAAGCCCGCTGGGAAGGACAGCACTTGGCCTGGGAGCACGTGGAGTGGGCATCTGCCCCCAACACCACGGTCACAGGGGCTTCTGGAGGCCTCACCCCTTGACTGACACACTCGTCAATCTCCCAGCTGCACGAGAAAAGCTTCATCCCCAGCCAGCGACTCTGACCTACGGGTCCCACCCAGGCGCTGAGCAGTTGCTTCCCTGCCCAGCTGGGTCTCAGAGTGACAGGGGTCTTTGTAGGTCCTGATTTGATCATTAAAAATAATTCAAAGGACAGGGCCGGGGAGTTAGCTCAGTGGCTCTGCTGCCTGCCTCACAAGGACCAGAATTCGATCCCTGGTACCAAAAAAAAATTGAAAGGAGCTGGGCATGGTGGTAAATGCCTGTAATCTCAACATTTAGGAAGCTGAGGCAGGAGATCACCGAGTTCAAGGCCAGCCTGAACTGCACAGCGAGACCTTGCCTCAAAAAAAAAAAAAAGAGCTGGAGACGTAGCTCAGTGGTGCTGCACCTGCCTGGCAAGTGTAAGGTCCTGAGTTTGATCCCTGGTAACAGAAAAAAAACAGAGGAGGAGGAGGAAGAAAGGATGCACAGAGGACAAGGAGTCTGCCCAGCCAGAAGTCCTGCTTACTGTGGTGCCTTCCAGGGTGCCCTGGGTGACAGCACTGACACCTGGGTGAGTCACGTTCACCGGCCACCATCTGCCCTGTGCAGCCAGGAGGACCATGCAGGTGCAGGCTGAGCTGCAGACCTGCTGTCCACTTCCCACTGGGCCACCAGCCACTGACCTGGGGTCACTCTGACCGCCTGGTCCACACCGCAGACTCCGTCCCTCGGGCCCTTGCCCCCTGACCAGCAGCCGCAGGAGGAGTTGTCCATTCCCTCCAAGCGACCCCTGCCTCCATCGGAACTACAGGAAGAGCACCAGTGACCGCCGCACCCTGCCTGGTGCCAGATGTTCCTGCTGCACCTGCACCATGGGAAAATCCAACGCCGTTTGCTCTCTGTTCCGAGCCACCCTTTCCTACTGTGGCACACGATCACCGGCCCGGGGCTCCGTGACGGTCAGTCAGTGCCACTGCTCCTTGCAACTGGTGTCCAGGTCTCACGGGGAAGCTGAGATCCGGATCCACAGCTAGGATCGGGTGTCCCACAACCTGTCACTCGGGCGCCCTGGGGGGTGCACTGGCCACGCAGAGCTGTGCTGAGCAGGTCTCGGCTCACGGCCGCGCCCAGCCCTGTCCCCCACGGGCCCCGACACGCTACTCACGGAGGTGGTGGGCGTAGCGGAGGTGGAAGGTGTCGCAGCCGTGCACGTGGTGGTACAGCGTCTTCTCGATCAGGTCCTGCGGCTCGTAGCCTGTGAGTTCAGTCACCCTGGGAGACAGCACAGCTCCGTGAGTTCCCGCTCTGTTTAAGCCAGTACTGATTTTGACGACTAAACAAGTGCTAAAAGGCTAGAGGGGGGGTGGAAACTGGGAAGTTTTTTTTTTAAACAAGCAGCAAATCTCTGAACTCTAGGCTGGTCCAGGACCAGCAGTGTTTGTGGGCAGCGCTGGTCTTCCAGACATTCGGGACGGCTCCAAACTGTCCCCTTTCTCAAGGTTAAGCTTTCCGAGGGGCCTTTGGGGGAACAGCACTGCCGCTGGGGGAGCTCCCCTGATGAGGATAACCTGCCGCTTACTTTGTTCCTCCCCTGGCTTTTAAATCCACCGCACACTGCACACTGCTACTCAGCGCAGGTGGTCTTGGACCCAGCGGCCGGGCCACTCCCACTGACGGAAACTGTGGCTAACTGCAGAAGTCTGAGCCTCGGATCAGGGGAGGATTACTTCGGACCCCCCAGAAAACAGCGCAACGTCTGCAGATATTGTGGCTACAAGGGAGGCCTTAAGCTCTCCGTGGAGACGGAAGCCTTTTCCCGGTGCTTATGCGACATGACCCTGCTCTCCTTCCCATCCTGCCTGGACGTATTCATTTCCCCTTCGGCTCTTTGAAGACCAGGGGCTGCCGCACCAGCTGACCTTGGATGGCTCCACCCACAGTGACCAGGGGAAGTGGAACGGTACCTTCCCAGGCTCAGGGCCAGGGGGAAAATGGGCCTGGAGAGGAGGTGGCCCTCAATGCCTTGGGGGCAGAGACTCAAGGACAGATGGAAGAGGGAAACAAGCAGGGATTCCTACGGGGGCGGGGAAGGGGGTGGGGCTGAGGCTACAAGGAGCAGTCAGTTCTGGAGGACAGGGAGGGGAGGCTGAGGCAGGCTGGACCTGGGCACTGCTTGCCAGGACATGAAATGTTAGTTGCAAATTAAACCAGGAAACTTGACCTTTTGTTCTTGAACCCTCTCCCCTTTCTGTTGGCTTTGGGTCATAAATCTCTGAGAGCCTCATGTTTGCCCCTGGTGGGGGATACGTTCCCACACTTTTTCTCCGGGATGGGAAGAGGACAGGGCTGCAGGCTGTGGGGAGGGTATATCCCTTCCCAAGCCCCAATTCCAGTTATCTGGGGTTCAAGGGACAAGTCTCAGGGCCACCTAGAACTTCAAGCCCCCTCAGAGCCTAACTCTGTGCGGCAGGAAAATTGAGACGTCTGGTTTCCCCCAAAGAGAAAGCCAGGCTTCTCCACAGCATGGGGATGAAAGAGGCTTCTCAGACCTTTTGGATGTCGAGTCCTAGAGTGAGGGCCCCAACGTGTAAATGGATCAGAAACACACGGATTAGGTTTCTCATTAAAGTCCACACGGGCTTTAAAAATTAAAGGGGAGGGACGGGCTTGGCAGGGCGCTCAAACCCATAGTGTCTGACGACCTGTCACAGGGATCTGCCAAACCCCAAACATCGCTGGGCTCACCCATCCTTCCCAAAAGCACTAGCTACGGTTTCAAAGTGAAATCCACAACCATGAAGGAGCCAGCTCGCAGGTTATGCCGAGTTCAGCTGTGTCTGGGACTGGGCCAGGCAGGGTGCAGTGGACCCCCAAGCCCAACAGTCTTGCTCCTATGACTGGGGGCTGCGGGGCCAGCTGACCCCTCCCTGTGGCTGCTGGGGTTTGGATGCAGAAACTGACATCTCTTCCCTGCCTAGGCCTCCGTGTCCCTGGCCCAAGCCCTTTCAAAGATGACAGGAACTTAAAAAAAAGACAGGAACTGCAACCAAATGGAACAAAGACCACAGCAACCATAAGGGTATCTCCAGCACTCGTGATCTCTTGAAGTCCTTCCTCCACAAATGAAGTTTAGGAAAAGCCCAAAGGTTTTTCAAGAAGCTCCCTGATACTGAGATGGAAGAAGCACAGTTTCTAGGAGGGACAGGAAGTCTCCTTCAAGAGAGCCACTTCTTTGCTCTTCTTCAAGATGGCTTCCCTTCAAGACAGCAGCCCCACATCTGAGGGCGGAAGCTCCCATGATGCTCCCTCCACAAAGGCCACATCGGAAGCATTCTCAGAGAGCAGAAGGCAGCTTCTAGCTAACCTCCTCTAACTTGCACTGCAAAGACTTCAGATCTCTCCTCTAGGGATATCTCCTGCCTTCCTTTTCTAGAGAATTCACTGGCTGGATCTCGGATTTTTCTAAAATTATCTGTGAAATATTAGGAAGCAAAACGAGGGAGAAACCAACTGGATCCTCCTTGATTCCTTCAAAACTGCCCTTGGACAGCCCACTTCCTTCAGAAATGGTTAATAAGTTGGGAAAGGTGTCCCCATCACTGCACACACCAGGCGCTGAGACAGCTGGCCCAGCCCTCTCCTCAGCATTTGTCACCATTTGGCCACCCTCAAAGGCACCAGCAGTCTCCAGCAGAGTTCTGTTTGCCCTCAGCTCAGAGTCTGGGGGACAATGCCAGCTCCACTGAGCCAATGCTGGTCACCTCTCGCCTCCTGAATGGTTCTGAGGACATCCACAGCTCGCCTTCACCTCCTACCTTTAACCAGGTAGCTTTGGTTTTCTCAAACAAGAATCAATACGCGGCTAAAAATTATCAATATATATGGTATTTTACTACAATTTTTAAATAGCAAAAAAATAAAGCTGAGTGTGGTGCACACCTCTAACCCCAGTGTTCTGGGAGGCAGACAGGAAGATGTCAAGTTCCGGCCCAACCTGGGCAACATAGAGACTTAAGAGAGACCCTGTTTTGAAATAAAAAATAATAAAGGGGGCTGGGGGATGTAGCTCAGAGCAAAGGCCTTGGGTTCATTCCTCAGTATCAAAAATAAATAACAAAGTTAAAAATACTAAAAACGATTAAAAACTCAGTTTCCAGGTGTCTTGGTGCACTCCTGTGATCCAGCTACTTGGAAGGCTGAAGCAGGAGGACTTCTTGAACACAGGAGTACAAGGCCAAGCACAAGAACCTGACTTGGCGGGGAAAAACAGAAAAAGAAAAAAAGTTCAGTAAACCTTGGCTTTACCCAGAATAAATATACCCTTCGTCCTGGAAAGCTGTGTCACACATACCAAGTCAGGACAAGCACCTCCCTCTGCTTGCACGGTGGAGGACCCACAGGCCAAGAGCAAGTGGTGTGGAGGTGCATGGGGCTCTGTTTTCCACGTGTGTCCCATCTGTTATCTAATTTCTTCTTTCTGAAACCTTGTGGCTAGCTAGTGGGTGAGCAGGTCTGTCACTGTGGCAGTGAGAAAAGGGAAGAAAGCCCAGCCAGCCTGAGGCTCGGGACTTGTGAGGATTTCTTCATCTATTCCAGAATGTACCCCCAGTACATCGCCTTGTCACGTACAAAAATACAATTCTTACCGATTAAAAATGAAATAAAATTTAAGAATAAAAGATAAAAAGAACAGTGAGTGCCAGGCGTGGTGGCTCAGGCCTGTAATCCTAGCCCTGTGGGAGGCTGAGGCAGGAGGACTGCAAATTCAAGCCTAGTCTGGGCAATTTAGTGCTTTAGTGGGACCCTGAAAAGAAAAAAAAAGAAAGAAAAAGGAAACAAAAAATCTGAAGGCTGGGGATGTAACTCGGTGTGAAGGCTTTGGGTCCAATTTCCAGTACCACATCAATAAAATTTAAAAGATAAAAAGGCCTGCGCTGCCTGGGTGCACGAGACCAAAGCTCTCCATTCTGGTTTCCCAAGTTGGCCCCTGCAAGGCCTTGGGGAGCAAGTATCACCCTCAGCCTCAGTTGCTCCCTCTGTGGTCCAGACACACACTGAGTGCTGCAGAGCTTGGGGTCCAGTGTCCCCCAGCACGGGCGACCTCACCACTCCCTGCTCTGACCTGACTGCCTGTGGCTGCCACAAATCTGAGGGCTTCACATGCTGCTGGGCAAGGAAACCTCTGTTTGTCCTTTGTCCTAAAGTCCAGCCAGCTTGGCAGAGGGCAGAGGCAGGACCCTGACGCTGTGGGCCTTCAGGAGAGGCTGCCTCGTGTCTCCCCCACAGGTTTCCTGGACAAACTCCAGTGAGGTGACTCAAACGGTAATGAACTAGTTAATCACAAGGCCGGACTCTGAGGCTGACACTAACGCTTTCCACACACGACTCGCTTTTGGAAATCCCTTTCTGGTCCACATTCTTCCTTGGAGTTATCCTTGTTAGAGTTTGGCTGCATATCACAGAGTTTCCAGGGGCCAAATGACACCATCAGGGCTGTCCGGGATGTCACAGCAGTGGTGGCGGTGGCAGGGGCCAGACTCACCTGGAGTCCAGGAAGATGAGCTTCAGGTCAAGGCTGGCCCTGAACATGAACATGTTACTGTGCAGCTTGATCTCCGTGATGGCGCTGGGCGGCAGCGACTGGCCCACGGCCACCAGTCCCACAATCTGGTAGCAGGAGTCATACAGGGACATGTCCAGCATGTACTGCCTAATCTTCAAGTAGCCGCTGCAGTGGATGACCTGGGAGGGCGGGGAACAAGTCAGGTGGCAGGGGCCCTGCTGACCAGGGCTCAGGTTGGTGCCCACCCTCCTCACTCACTGTTCTAGAAGGTTCTGGAATATTCTCCAGCCTAGCACCTTCTGAGCTTTGCCGTCAACCTGACCTGCTGCGCTGCTCTCTTAGGAAGCAATGTCATAAAATATAAGTATTGTTTTGCCCAGTTGATTGTGTGCAAGGAAAGCCACCAATCGGGGCTCTCCCGTGCGTGGTGGATTCATATTAATTAACTAATTGCCAAGCTGTGTTTAGAGAACAGGACAAAGGTATTTTGTTCTGCTCATGCGTCCCCTTTGCTGCACGACGCGTCCCCTTCAGTTAGGACTGAGTTTGACATCTACATTACTGACATACTGTATCAACTCCTGTAAATTAAAAATTCTGTCTATAGAATTTAAAAGTCTTCTTTTTGGAATGTATTGGAACTTTTTATTTCTGAGGCTTACTTACAATTCAAGGTTTTAATAAACAGTGAGCTGCACAGAAGCCCTCCCAAGTGTTAGAACCAAAGACCATATGGGAGAGAATGCACAGCATTCAGAGGCAGGCAGAAACATCTGTGCATTTAAGCCTCAAAAGCAGAGCATTTATAGCATTTAAAGTCAGTAAACAGGCTGGGGGCACAGCTCCTTGGCACAGTGTTGCCTCACTCCACACGTATGATCCCCAGCCCTGCCAAAATAAACAAACAAACAAACAAATAAATAAAAAATTTAAATCGTCAGTTTTGCTAGGATCACGGTCATCATTACAGTGGTAGTGAATGCTAAAATCTTAGCCTTATAATTGTCTTTTCCAAAACCCTTCCTCCAGGATTCCTGGACATTTTAACCATCTTTAGAGCTGAATAAATCTCAAAACCCTTCACATCAACTCTCATTTTGCTGAGGAGAGAACCGAGGATAAAATAGATAGATGGTGTATTTTGCTTAAGATCAGACAGCTGGACAGTTAATGAGAGGCAGAAACAAATCAAGGCCCAGGTGGTCTGAGTGGTGGTCTATCCGGTGCAGGGTAAGGCAGGGGGCTCCCCAACCTGGCCCAAGAGGCTTAGACCCTGGGACCAATAAGAATAAGAATTGCATCTCCCCCAAAATATAAAAGCATTTGCCAGGCACTGTGGCACACATCTGTCATTCCAGCCCTCAAGAGGCTGAGGCAGGAGGATTGCCGCAGACTGGACGCCAGCCTGGGCTACATAGTTCAGGACCAGCCTAAACTACACAGTGAGACCCCTTGCCTAGCATGCACAAGGCCCTGGGTTCAGTCTTTAGCACTGAAAATAAATAAATCAGAGTGAGTGACATCAAGGTCTCAGGGAAAAAGGTCAGAGTGGGGTTGACTGGAGAGGGACTCAGGGGAAGGGGCCCAGCCCAGCGGGGGCTTGGAAGGGCATTCCAGAAAGGACAAAGGCACAGGCGCCAGTGTGTACTCCTTCACCCCTTTTCAAAGGGGCAGAAGCTCCTAGAAAAGGCTTCCAGCCACCTCCATCTCCAGAGCAGTGGACGGTGGTGACCTCTCTCCTCCCGGGCAGGAAGGACAGCAGAGAAGATCCCTGGGAAAAAGGTGAGGAATCAGTTCCCCAAACCTGCGTTCTGGTCTGGGAGCCGCTGCCCCTAACCCTGAGGTGAAATACTGCCAGTTGTTCACTCAGGCGTGCTGGTACACATCTGTCATTCCAGTACCCAGGAGGCTGAGGCAGGAGGATTGCTGTGAGTTCCAGGCCAGCCTGAACTGCACAGTGAGACCTTGTCTCAGAAAGTCATAAAACAAAAGCAAACCTGCCAGCTGAATCTCAGAAATGAACAGCTCCCAGATTCTGGCATTATCAGAGCAAGGAACAAGGCCTCAAGGAGGCTGCTGCCTACCATCATCATGAGTGCTGGGTTGGATGGAAGGCTCTGGAACATGAGCAACACTGCCATGTTCTGAATTCTCACTGCCGCCCAGATGTTGCTCTGAAATTTGGGTTCTCAACATGAATTCCAAGGGCAACTGCTCCACAAAAAATGAAACTCCAGTGCTGGGCTAAAGTCTGTCCCGAGCTACCTCGGCTCCTAGCCTGGTGTGAGGAGATCCAGCGGCCCAGCCTGGCCTTCCCTGTAAGGCTCTCAGGCAGCTAGGAGAGGTCACTTGCAACTTCTGCCTGGGCAGGGTGATGTGTCTGCTTCCAGAACCTTCCTTTCTGTGTGGTCTCCAGGGTGATACAGAATATAAAACACAGTGGGGACCCAAGCCAGCTCCTCCCTGCCCCGCCAGGGCCCCGTGTACCTTGTAACCGCTGCAGGTCAGGCCCGCGTTTCTTTTGGCCAAGACGCACTTCATCCGGAGGAAGAACGACCTCTCCATCTCGTATTCTGAAAGCAGGAGCGAGGTTCTGTGGGCGAATGTCCCACTGCTTCCCCATCTTCTCCCCACACAGCACTGAGAAATTCCCAGGGCCACCGCCACAGCTAGAGGCCCAGCCCTGACCCACAGAGCTTCCGATTCAGCTCCCATGGGCACCAAAGGAGGGCAGGTGACCCATGGCCACAGCAGGAACATGGAAAGGGCAGCCCGAAGGCAAAGGGTGGCCTGGCACAGCTCCAGCTGTCACCACACACCCCCCACAGGCCACAAAGTAGCCTGGCGCCAATGGAATGTCCTGGGCCAGCTCTGGGGCAGGCGGCTGAGCTACAAGGAAGGCCCAGAAGTGTCCGACTTCTGTCAGGGTAGCAGATGCTAAGTACCAGCCACAACTCAGCCCCTTTCCCTGGCAGAGGGAGCCAGCCACATGTGCCTCCTGCCAGCTATGCTGTGGGCTCCGAGACCCACTGTGGTCAGACCAAAGCTCTGGCCTTCGTTTCCAGCCCTGGAAGAAGCACGCCCATGTCCCTGTCCTCCCAGTCCCTCTGACAGCTGTGGCTGGGCCACAGCTTTCTCTCCTTTCTTTCCCAGGCTGCACACACAAATCTCTGGCCTTGCGATTGCAAATGGCCCCTTAAGGAAACACATCTGCTTTCAGGGACGCCAGCATTTCCAGGCACAAACAAATGCCACACCTCTGGGTGAGGGAGAGGTCACCTACTCTAAATAAACAGCCACTTGGTGGAGGTTAATAAATTAATCTTTAAAGAAGTGACCACGAGGAATGGAAGCAAGGCCTTCCACACGCTGAGGGTGGGGACCAGCCTTTGGAAGTTAGAGAATTTGCCACACAAGTCCCTTGCCTTCCCACTTGGACAGGCTGCCATGTTTTACCCACAATTCCCCCAGCACCCCGGATCCACAGGCCTGAAGCTTCCTCTACTACGGCCACGTGTCTGCACCATGCAGCTAAGCACTGCGCTGTGGAAGCACAGGTCTAAAACACATGAGTTGGTAATTCTTTGTCCGCCTTGGGAAGAGCTCATTTCTCACACATTTACCATAAAACAGCGAGGGCTCGGATCAGATACAGAAATCAGCTCTGCAAATGAGACCTTAGGGAGGAAACTCAGCCTGCACCCCTGCACTGGCACTGAAACATGGGACCCCAACACGCCCAGCCTTGTTGCTTCTCCTCTCCTACTGTTGCCTCAGACTTGAGCCCCACAGAAGCAGGGGTCCAATGGGTCTTCCGAGATTCCAAGATTCATTCGCTTCCATTTTGCAGACCTTCTGGAGGCTAAGAGCGGGTGGGGAATGGAAGCGGGGCTGGCGGAAAAGCTGGCCCCATGCAGCCAGGACCCACGCAGTGTTTCAGAGCCACACACCACGCCGCACTGAGAGATTCCCAAGACGCCTGCTGTCTGTGTGCAGCTTTAAACCACAGAGAAAGGATCCGAATCGGGTGCGGTGCTCCAGCCTACGTGCTCTGTGTTAGAAATGACTTCTTTAGAGCTGTTCTTCCTTTAAGCAGGCAGCCGTCCCATTTCCGAGGAAGTAGGAAGCACAGACAACCACCGCCCACCGTGTCTCAGGATCTAACACAGTGGGCTCTCCCCTGAGGAGGGAGGGAGCAGACTCCAGGCTACGTGATAGGATCGAAACATAAAGTGAATGTTTCAAATTTTTAAAAATGTACTACAGTAAAAGACACACTGCCATAATCCCTCCTCAGAACGCCCCTCTAGCTTCCAAACTCCTATCACATCGTTCTTTGCACTTTCTGGAGCAGCTCTGGATGTGCTCTTTCCCAAGCGTCTTTAGTTGTACTGTTGTGGCCGTCTCAATGTCCTGAAATGATTGAAAACTTTTACCTCTTCTGTTCGTTTCAACTTTGGGAAGAGCCAGAAGTCCCACAGTGCCAGATCCAGTGACTAAGGTAGCTAGCTACAGCCTGCGATTCTTACTTCCTTGGAAATCGGTTAGCTGCCTAAATAATAGGAAGAATGATTCTGAAGCAGTCAGAGCCTGAAATAGGCAATATACCTTTTACTTTGCCGCACGTGGTGGTGTGCACCTGTAATCCTAGCACTCAGGAGGCTGAGGCAGGAAGACTGCTAGGAGTTCAAGGTCAGCCTGAATGACACAGCAAGACTTTCTCAAAAAAAAAAAAAACAAAACCCAAAATAAATACGTTTTAAAATGTGAACACTCCCCATATATTGTGATCACGCTTTATATTTCTGGAGCTAGAACTCGGGGACACAAAGTTGCATCTACAAGGAGTCTGACAACTGAACATACTCCTCTGTGGCCCCTGCTCCATGCCTTCCAGTAATGCTTTCCAGGAGGGGGCAACACGAATGGAACTCATTTTTTGCCTCTGGCTAACAAACCTTTTCTCATTACTCTTGAAGTTTTATGTTGTGCGTTTTGTTCCAGTGGGGAATTTTGGCCGTGGTGAGTGCCGTAGTCCAAGGCACAAGGAGAGCCCTTGGTCATGTGCCTGCTGGCCGAGGGAGTTAAAGCCCAGGGAACTGGAACAAGTCCTGTGTCTTGCTGGCACTCATCACAGTTGTAATTTAAGGAGTCATTTGGGCAACGCCCAGGGCTTCCTAACATGATGTGCGCCATGGCACAACACCGATATCCCTGCTCAGAATAATGCTCTTAAATGGGTGAAGTAAAATACATGAGATTAAACAAGGAACAGTTACCAAAACACTGGAACACGTAGTGAGATGGATGCGAATTGCTGCTCTGTTGCTACATTAAATAACCAAAGTCAGTAGCAAGCCTCAGAACTCCTGGAATTTCAAAGTAGCCATGCACATAAACAAAGTATTTAACTCTCTACCACAACCCTAATGTGATGTGAAAACGACCCATGATGAGTCTGCTTAGCAAAACCACTGGGACTATGAGCTCCAGGACGGTCTACAGGTCAGAACAGAGGAGTGCTGGCTTTCACCTAGAGGAAAGAGTGCTATAATTTTCTCCTTGAAACTGCATGGCCCTTCTAGCCCCCAAGTCCTATCTCTACAAGCAGGGCCCAGCCCTACACCCCTAGACACTGCGGTGGTGGAATTCAAAGCCAGGAGCCTGTACATAAGGGGAACAGGCAGGCACAGGAAGCAAAGCCCCGGTCACAGTTAAGAACAGGGCCTGCTTCCTTCCAGTCGCCCAAATACCTTGGAGCAGGTGATGGTGGAGAGGCGGGTGGGCCGCCAGGACAGCGGTCATCTCGTCGTGGTCAGAGGGATGGATGTACTCGTAAATACTGTTGCCTGTGAGCTCCACCTGGTGAGGGAAGGCGGGTCAGAATGTCAGCAGCGGCCCCTTTCAGCGGGGCCAGGCGTGTCACAGGCTCATGCCCTCCCAGGGACAGGACTCTGAGGTCCACTCACAGCCCACACCATCCCAAGGAACACATTTGCTTCTGCTCAGCCAGCTCCAAACCTGTCTGCCACACCTGACAGGGCCAGAGGCCCCCTGAGAACCCCCAAAGGAAACACGCAAAGGTGGCCTCAGAGCGGGTGCAGAGGCCCCCGCCAATGTCATGTGGAGAGGGCAGCCAGTGGGAGGCAGACTGCAGCCAAGGCCTCCCCGGCCCTCAGTCACAGGCCATCCAGGGGCCTGGCCTGAGTGGCCGCCATGACTCTCCTGTACACTCAGCTGACCGGTCAGGAACCACGGCGTGGAGGAGGACCTGCCCAACAGTAGCTGTTTCTTCCTCAGCTCGAAGCCAGGACCTCAGGCCCTGCCAGGCCTCTCCCACGTTGCCAGAAATGTGTCTCTGGCTTTCCTGGTCCAAGATGACTGTGCTGATTCTGGGGCTCCCGCCCAGGGGTGCGGCTGGGTCTCTGCGTGACCTTCAGGAGGACTTGGGTCCCCTCCAGAAAGCCTCATGATGTGGCGATTGTTTCCTGGGGTTGCTACCTCAACACAGGGACATCTCCTGCTTCCAGGCGCACCGCCCAGGAGATGCCGAGGCCATGCTGGACAGCAAGCTGCTGTGCCAGAATGGGCAACACCAGGAAAACCACCGCCCTCAGGATTTTCCTCTCAGAGGTCCAGTTCCTGACCCTCAGGACCTCCCCAGCGTTCTGAACACAAATGCTGTGCAAGGTCATGATGTGATTCCTCAAGGCCTGGACTCCGTCACCTGTGGAGACCTGGGGAGGGGAGGCTGCAGACTTTCCGAGCCCTCAGAGGACAGGGGGACCAGATTTGTGTGGCCCTGCAGGCAGCAGAGGGGCATCTATGTAGGGTCCACCTGGCACTGCCCGCTTGAGGAGCAGCACAACACAGGTGGCTTCATGAAGGCTTTCCCAGTTCTATTTTCTGCATTATTCATGGAAAGTTCCCTTCCAGCATAGCACAAACAGAGCCACAGACAAAACCTTGGGCAGAAACCCTCCCTAGACCCCTTCACAACACCTCCTAAACCTGGGGCTCTGTGATGACCCCCTCAAAGGGGGCCAGGTGGAAGTTAGTGTGTGATTTCATCTGTCAAAAAGAATAAAAATGCAAACATTTCAAGTCATTCCTGGTAACTCTTAGAAAGTTCAAATACACCAGCAACATTTAAGACAGACTTTCACGACAGAACAGTCCCCTTTATCCTGAGGATTCACTCCTTTTTCCTGAAGTTTTGTCAAAGTGGGGTGTTAGAAGCTAATAAATAGGGAGGTGACTTTTTGTTTTGTTTAATTCATTATTTCAGTGGGTTTTTTAATGAAAAAAAAATGTAAAAATTTTGTTCCCAAGTGTGGTGGCACACTCTTGTAATCCCTGAATTTGGAAGGCTGACACAGGAGGATTGCTCAGAGTTCAAGGCCAGCCTGGGCTACATAGTGAGACTCTGCATTAAAAAAAAAAAATTTTGGTATTGGCTGATCACTTCTTTCACACCCATATTTTTAAGGAAAAATGATCATTCTGTTTTACTTGAAATTCCTTTTGGGAAAAAAGTATGTAAAGGATATCTCTGTAGAAAATATCTTCAGGGACATACAGAAAAGCTTGAATCCCTGCTTCTCCAGAATCAGATTTGTGTTTTAATCCCAAAGTTGTTTATTTGTTTTCAAAGTTCCTGTTATCATCAGAGATTGGAAAAAGAGGAGGGTTAAGGAGCATGGAGAAAAAGCTTGCTTTTCTGAATTCTTTTTTTGTTTGCTTTGAGACAGGGTCTCACTATGTCGTTCATCCTGGCCTAAAAGTCACTATGGGGCCCTGGATGGCCTCCAACTCCTGGGGTTCCTCCTCCCTCAGACGCCCCAGTGCTAAAATTATAGGCAGGCACCATGATGCCCATTGCTTTTTGGAATTCTTGAGTCCATTATAAAATGGTCTGGAAAACTCAAAGGCTGTCTTGGAAGTAAATCAGCCTTCAAATAACGGAAATGTTTTTACAGAACAAATTTTGGAATGATAAAAGAGTTCTGACCTTAATTCAAAATTATGGTTGACATGGTATTTCCTGTATTTACATATCTATTTGTGCTTTTGAATGCTGGAATATAGATATGTGTGTGTTTGTATATTTACATTTATACTAATGGAGAGCAACAAGTCTCTCTTTCTCTTTATTATCTACATTTCTATTTCTATAAATATGTAAAGAGAGAGAATTGTCATTATAAAACTCCCCAGGCAGGTCTACAACATCAGCCTTATTAAAGCAGAACTTCCACGTGATATTTTAGTATTTGTAAAACCTTGCTAACTACAAAATGAATGACTTTCTACTAAGAGGTTTTTTATGTTTCGCTGAATAGCTTTGCTTCCTGCCAAGAAAGCTGCAGATGATAAATGCGACACTAAAAGGCTATATTCTGTGTGTCAGCGCAGGACACTCAGCGCTTAGAAAATGCTCAGTGCGCTGTTTTGGGTATTTTGCCGAGTATGGTAAATTAAGCATTTTAAAATAAGACGGTTTGGGTTTCAGGGTTCAAGCTATGTCAACAAACATAAAACGCCATCTTTTTTCCTTCCTTCCAAAGTGAAAGAAGCAGGTCTTGTACCTTCAGCGACACCACCGCTATTTTTACAGTTGTGTCTCCGGCATCAATTTTAAATGTTACATTTTTCTTTATGTGTCTCATAAACAGCTATTTCATACCTGTCTATGTTTCTTTGAAAATGTGTATTAGTTCCCTAGGTGCTGTATAAGGTTTGCAACTTCAGCAAGGAAATTCAAACCATAAGGAACTCTAAATGTGTATAACAATCACGTAGGGCTTTCCTCCTGCCTCAAATATGAGTTTTAAAATTTTGCATTATTTTAAAAATAACAAGGAATAAGTCATTTCATAAGCGTGCACGGCTAAAAGTACCCCCCCAGTGCCCGCTTCGAATATATTTAACTGTGTCGATGTTTCGTGCGTCTGCCCACACGTCTCCACCCCTCAGCAGAAGGGACACCTTGCATTTTGTGGTTCTCTCTTCTCTGTCATTTTTTTTAGAAACAACCTTTACAGCAATGATCTTGTTTACTAGTTTCAAAACAAAAATAAATGAATAAACTCTGTCACAGGCAGTAGAATTTTTGTCCGACACTTGTAAAAAAAAAAAAAAGAAGTTTAACAAGAGGCTTTAGGTGAAATGGAAATGGGCTTACAGCATATAAAAAATTTCTGATTTTTCAAATACAGAATTCAGATAATTATTTGGATAGTTCAGCTCAAAACCAGAATAAGACAGCCCAATCCGCTTTTTCCAGAAAAGTAGGATGGGAGGTCGAGCCGTTGTCATATCAGCAAAGCTAGCGGCTTATGTTCCCATGGCCACTAACGAGAAGTTTAACTTTGACCCAATACAAACCTCACTAAGGAGGGAATGTTATTGAGAGCTGAAAGGAGACAGAAGGGCCCCAAGTAAGTATAAGCTGGTACGGCTATTGCTTTTCACCAGAAAGTCTACTTAAAGGGTTTTGCTGCTTGCTGGATAAAATGTCATCAGCGCTTTGTGGGTGTGCGCGTGCATGTACTGAACCCAGACCGCTGCAAAGGCTTAACACACTCTCTACCATGGATCTACATCTCCAGCTCCCTACACTCGTATTTCTGGGATCTTTTTTTTTTTTTTTTTTTTTTTAGCCAGTTTTTTCCCCAGGCCTGGAAATGGAAGACAGGGCCTTGCGTATGGCAGGCAAGCACTCTCCACTGAGCTCCATCCCCAGCCTGTACACTGTTTTTAATAAAGTCTCCGTGTTTGTTACATATGCCTGATTTGTTTTTGCTAATAAAAAATAATCTAAAAGGTGTAAAACAGTTTTAGAAGAGGTGAGTATATAGCACCCTATGCAATCCTTGTTTTACTGTTTAAGTAAAGAAGACAGAAAAAAACACGCACGGTGATCCTGCCTAGCTTTCCTCCTGTGCAGTTAATCACGAACAGCTCCAGATTTAAGAGGTCGCTGCTGTTTCTTTAAACAGTTCCCTATGGCACATTTGTGGCTGTGGAGGGAGACTTGCCCAACCTCCCAGAAAAATCAGGAAACCGTGTCCTCTACTGGAAAGAGAGACAAAAGGATCTCTACAACTTTGGGGAAATGGTAGTGCGTGGACCTCCTCTCCCTTCAACGTGACAAGTTTTATCTCCGCACACAGTCAAAAGGGAACATAACACTTTCACGCAGCGCTGCCTAGATTTCCATCCGCAGAGCTAATCAGGAACAAAAGGCCTATCCGTCACTCTCCAGTGTCCTGGTTGTTCTTAATCACTATGTTCATGATCAGCCCCTTCTATTTCGCTCGTAAAAAGGGAAATTGGCAGAAAAGTAGGATGGGAGGTCGAGCCGTTGTCATACCATCATGGGAGGTGAACGGTACCAAGTAACATGCTGGGAATCCCATCCGAGAGAGAGAGAGAGAGAGAGAGAGAGAGAGAGAGAGAAGCCCTAACAATCAAGCAGCCCCTACTGATGCTCGCAAAGGATTCTACTCAGAACATTGTTCTAATGAGGCTGTGGCTTTTGTATAGTTCCCTATCATTTATTTATTGTCATACCATCATGGGAGGTGAACGGTACCAAGTAACATGCTGGGAATCCCATCCGAGAGAGAGAGAGAGAGAGAGAGAGAGAGAGAGAGAGAAGCCCTAACAATCAAGCAGCCCCTACTGATGCTCGCAAAGGATTCTACTCAGAACATTGTTCTAATGAGGCTGTGGCTTTTGTATAGTTCCCTATCATTTATTTATATATAGAGCAGGCCTTGTTTTGTTATTTATGGTTCCAGGACATTAAATCCCTGCCCTGTTAGACAATGAAAACCATATAACTGAAAACATTTCCCTTTTTGTTTTGATGGCTAGGGAGCTCAGATATAAATTTAACATTCAATAATAGTGACTTTAGATTTTTTTTTTAACCAGTCATCTTAAAAGTACATGACGTCGGGCTGGGGATTTAGCTCAGTGGTTCAGTGGCCTGCCTTGCAAGCGCAAGGACCTGAGTTCAATCCCCGGTACCAAAAAAAAAAAAGTACATGACGTGTTTCATCATGTTTGTTGACATTAATGTAAGGCTACTCAAGGTTTTATAAATTTCAATTGAAGCCAGGCATGGTGGTGCACGCCTGTAATCCCAGCACCCAGGAGACTGAGGCAGGAGATCGCTACAAGTTCAAGGCCAGCCTGGACTACAGAGTGAGTTCAAGCCCAGCCTGAACTAGACATTGAGACCCTGTCTCAAAAAAAAAAAAAAAAAAAAAAATCAGGGCCCAGGGATTTAACTCAGAGGCACCGCAGCTGCCTCTTAAGGGCAAGGTCCTGAGTTTGATCCCTGGTACCGAAAAAAAGGGGGGGGGTTCAATAGAAAAAGATAAATAATCCAATCAAGGTCATTCAGGCATAAATTGTCATTGACAGAAACCAATATGGACAAGACTAAGGAGCCCTGACTGATTCCAAACAGGGCAAAGTGGACATGCAGAGAATGACAACCACGGGAGATGGAGAAATCGTAATTCTTAGGGTGCTGGGGATGGAACCCAGGGCCCGATGCACGCGTAGCACATATTCCACCACCCACAGAAATAGTAAATTTCACATTGTCAAAATATTGTCCATTCTACAAGCATGCTGGTCCCACAGGGTGGTACAGGGCAGGAGCTACGCCTCGGTGCACTGTCTGGGAGGGCAGGTCCCCTAGAGGAAGGGCAAGGAAGCACCGAAAGAGTTTGATATGTGAATCTTTGCAGAGGGCTTTGCATAAAAGCCACATAAGCACATAAACCCAGGTGGGTCCGAGTAACGACCTACAGCCACTGGGAGAGAGGATTGTACACTGACAGGGTTTTCAAACGTGGATTAGCAGAAAAAAATAGGGGTACCCCAAATGTGGCGATTCTGCTTTTTAATGAGAAACTCAAGCCACTTCGACTGGCACGTTTCATTTTGGCTTATTTATAACAGTGCCTGGGCAGCACAACCCAAGATATTTTCTCTATCTTCCTTAACTCTAGTGTCTTCGTGCTGGTGAGAAGTCACACTGATCACTCCCTGCGTGTATAAAAATGTGGCATTTAGCACCCACCGGGTGCCACACTTGTCAAATCAGACATGTGCATGGGGGTGATCCGTCCGTGTGTCCCTGTCCTGACGTGCACAGGCTCAGACAGCAGCCAGATCTGCCCCCAAAGCTGGGCTTGCCGGGGTTGCCAAGCCGGCAGCAGCTGCAGCTCTCTCCTCTGAGGGTTGAGCCATCTTCAGAGCCAGGTCCGCTGCCCCAGGACAACGGGTAAGACTGGAATGTTCTAAAGCAAGCAGGACCTCGCCACGCAAAACAGTAGTAAACTAATTAAGGTTTATGAGTTTCTATCACAATCATATAAAACGCTTTACCAAAACGGCCACTGAACTGGAAAAACTCAGTAAAAATGACCCTGAATTCCATGTGAAGAACACCCATAAATCTACCCCTTCTCTGTCTCCCCAAAGCCATGTGACTCATGCTGTGAGATGCACACTGCTGTTCCTCGCCTTGCAGTCATGCAAGAGCCCGCCATGTGTGCCCCAGCAAGCGTGGACAGTACAGCCCCCTTGGGAAGCTCTTTCTGTGCCTTCTAAGGCTGCTAGGTAAGCGACAGTCCACAGGCACTGGACAGAATCTCAGCACCAGGCTGACTAGGTGAAGACATACTGGTCCTTAATCCCAAAGGAAAAAGCAAGTCCACAAGGCGCAACGTAGCAATAAGCAGAAAATCGCTGTGGGGTTTTGCAATTATGCATGATGTGCACACACAAAGCAGATGCTGACACAGACACGTTTTCAGGATGGGCAAGGCGGTCATGATCCACTGACACTTCGCTGAATGATTTGATTGTACATGAAATTAGGCAATACCTACCTGGGACAAGCCCAAATGTACAGAAGCTGTCTCGGATATGTACATGATTTTGCCATCAGATGCAACCACAAAAACAAATCCATCCAAAGTCTGTAAAAGAGAAAGTGTCAGGGGAAGCGGTGAACAGTTCTACATCAGAGGTTTATCTAGCAACTGAGGTCACTGGGCTGAAGGTATCAAACCTTCTGAGCTGGGGGTGCTTCTGTGGTAGGAGCCCTGCCTAGCACCCCGTGGACCTGGGTTCCACCTCCAGCACAGGGAAAGAGGGAATTACCCAGAAATAAAATTTTTAAAGGGGGAGCAGGGACATAAGGATGCAGGTAACAACATTCAAGGTTTATTCCCAAAGCCAGGCTCACAAATGCTTTTAAAGCACTTAAAAAAAAAAAAAAAAAAAAAAAAAAAAAAAAAAAAACAACAAAAAAAAAACCACATCCACCTCACAGAAATCATGCAAAACATTTGAGAATTCCTATCCTGCTCTGTCTGAATTTAGTGGCTTTGTTGTTTGGGGTTATTTTAACACTTAGCACAAAGCCAGAGCTCTATGGTTCTTAAGGGAACATCTACCACTACATAGAGCATTTAATGTCATAATTGGACTCATTTATACCATTAGAACATACAGTTTATTTGCCACAATTTTCTAGTTACCCCAAAGTACCATTTGAATAATAAATTCCAACCACTACCAATCCCCAGAAAATAAAACAAAATACCCAATATTTTACCAGACGATGTCTACAGAGTTAACTATTAAGGCTTTGTAAGAGATCAAATAACCTCTGCCAAAGTAAAGGAGAAAAAGTATCAACTTCCGAAAAATCAAAACTAGCCAAATGAAATTCTAAGTTTTGCCTGTGTTGGATACACTTCCAAAAATGAAGTAAAAGTACAAGAAGTAATTCAGATAGATAAAAAGGTAAGGATCATATTTATGCATCAAGGATAAAAAGACTAAATAATTTTTTAAAAAGGAAGCTATTTTATTTACTCATTCATATTGTAGATCCAGAACCAAAGAAAAGCAATAAAACCAGCGAAAAGAACCATACAACCTTCAATACTGTTCCCATAAAAAATATTCCAAATTAATTTCTGGCCACAAATTCTATTTTTACAGCATGTAATTGAAACCAGACTACCTTAGGGTTTTTTAGCCCCCCTTTCTTCGAGGGGGGCTAGAAAAGAACATAGCAGAAATGAAACTTGGTGGATAGCCTTATATTTTGCTGTCTCAAATACAACTTGCTACAAAACTACAGTTTGTTAAAACACAATCTTCTGCAATAATTCTTTGCCAGGAAACTGTCATTAGCTTGCTCTATGCTAAGACTGAAGTGAGCACTCTGATTCCAAGCCTTACTTTTAGGTTTCTAACTCAGCTACAAAGTATTTTCCCAAGTAACCTGGTGACATTTCAGAAACGTGAACTAGAAAGCCATTTCTAAAGTTTTAAATGCTTTGGCTTATTCTGCATGTTTCTTAATTCTAAAATATTTACAAAGATAAACCGAAGGAAGCAAACCCTTCAGAATGGCTAGGAAAGCGAGTGAAAGGGAAAAAGTTATCGTCATCCAGTCCTAAAAATTGCCAGCAGTAGCTAGGATAAATAATATTGTTCATGGAAAGCGTGCAGCGTGCCTTCCAAACTTCAAATTACCTAACTCACAAGTACAGTAAGTGCAAAGATGACCGTCCGCATGCCACCCAGGAACTAAATGTTCAGGGGAGCAGTCTGGGGTGTTTTCACTGAAGTTCTCTGGCACCTAGCTGTCCGGATCGCTTATAATATGCATGGGCGTTAAACAGCCTGGCAGGCTCCCGAGACCCTTTCCCCGCCCTGGCCACCACACTCTCTTTCAGTTGCAAAACCTCCAGCTCTCGAATTCTCCCCAGGATCTTTTCTCTGCACCAGCACCAGCATTTTAAAAAAGAAATCACACCTAGGCAATGTGAAAAGATCTGCTGTGTCAAAATACAGAGCTCACGGCTGGTTCGCAGATCTAAGTCACCAAGCCTGCAGCCAACGTTTTTCTTCTCCTTCAAAGAAAACACGAAATACAGGGAGGAAATGCAAAATAGCTCTCGGCAGGGGCAACCAGGCATTTTTCGATGGCAGAGACAAATGACAGGAGCAGGAATGAATAGGTCCTTGATGAGGCTCTGGAAGGGGCGTAGGGCATCGCTGTCCTCTGCCAGCCCAGTGGCTGCCCTGGACATGCCCGGTGCCAGTGGGGCCAGAATGAATGCAACACCTGCAAAGCTCAGGCTGACCCCAAACTAAGCAAAGACTACAGAGTCGGAGCTCTTGTGTCAGGCCACTTGGGGGACAGCCTGCTGTGTGACTTAGCCTCCTAGAGCCTCCTCTTCCTCCTCTGAATAAAACAAAGAAGCAGGAAGTGGTGGTGCACACCTGGAATCCCAGCACTCTGGGAGGCTGAGGCAGGAGGGTTAACAATTCTAGCCCGCCCTGGGCAATTTAGCAAAGAAATCTTGTCTCAAAATAAAAAATAAAAGAGGGCTGGGGATGTGGTGCAGTGTGAAAGGTGTGCGTTCAATTCCCAGCACCAAAATGTCACCTAATAGCACCCACCTAGGTGGTGGTCGAAGTGAGAGATGAAGTTTGAAAATAATCTGGTCTGCAACAAACTCTGGGGAGCCAAATGTAAATAATCTATTGATGCCGTCTCCCCTTTCCCCGGGGCAAGTGCATGCCCGCCTCGGAGGTCTGGCTGGAGCTGGCTGGGTGGAGCCGAGCCAGGTGGGAAAGGACCCCACTCTGGGTGCTGTTCTGTCTGGGTCTCAGGTGGCCTGGAGACTCCCAGGCTGCAGGGTGGGGTGGGACAGACCTGAGGCTGCACCTTACCAGGCTCAGTGCCTGCTCCTGTCCCTCCTGAGTGGCAGCCACGCCAGGCCGCTGGGAACTGTGCAGCCTGTGGTGGCCCTGGAGTTTGGGTTTTCATGGCACACCTTGAACCCAGGGTCACCAGGATGGAGCAGGGAGGTGGCACCCCCCCAACAGTGGCTCTACCTGCAGCAAGTGCGATCCCAGCTCCTTGGCAACACTGTCCAGCGGCCCGGTACGGCTGGGCTGTCCCCACGCGTCTCCTAAACCTGGACAGGGGAATAAAACAAACCGCTAAATGGCAGTGCCCTGTGAGCGGTAGGGTGCTGGGACCCCCACACCTGCACCCCTGCACATCCACACCACCCCGTGCCCAGCAGGCTTAGCCCTGCATCTTTGCAGTCATCCCTTCGCCCTCAGTTAAAAATGAAAAAGGGGGCTGGGGACTCAGCTCAGTGGTTCCGCTGCCTGCCTCGCAAGCGCAAGGACCAGAGTTTGATCCCCACTACCAAGAAAAATAAAAAATAAAATTAAGAAAAAGAAAAATAGAATGGAAGGTGGCTCCATGCCAGTAATCTCAGCACTCGGGAGACTGAGGCAGGAGGATTACAGTGAGGCCAGCCAGGGCTATACAGTGAGTTCAAGGCCAGCCTGGGCAACATAGTGAGACCTTGTCGTAAAAATTAAATGAAGAAGGCCAGGATGTATCACACACCTGCCTGGCAAGCGCAAGGCCCTCAGTTTGATTCCTGGTACCAAAAAATAAAATAAATGAATAAACAAGTAAGTGAGTGAACGAATGACTAAGAAGAAAAGAAAAAGGCGCCCATTTGCACCGAGCTTTCCCGCTGACCACTCCCAGGGGTCGCCCACGTGCTCACCGCTCTGAAATTGCCGTTTTATTTGAAATGCCACAAAGTAATCTAATCTGCTTTGAAATTGGCCATCCTCGTAGCCAAACGGGGTATCGATTTGACCAGTAAATACTCCCCCAAGGACCACCCGCCCGCCCTCCGCGCCGCGCTCTGCCTTTTCCAGAGCCGCCTCGGGCCAGCCTGGAGCAGCTTTGCCTGCCTAACGGAAAGCAGCCCCGCGGCGCCTTCGCCTTCGGTCCGTCCCCTCCCATCCCAGAGCTCCGGCCCCAAGGTGTACCGGAGCAGGAAGGCCGCAGGTGGGGATGCTACTCAGGCCCAGAACTGGGCGGGGTCCTCCCAGGAACCGGGCTCCGCAGGCCCGCAGCCCTTGCACCGCCCTTCCCCAGCACCTCCAGAGCTGCCAGCCAGGGAGCGTCCGCGTCCTCTCGCCCAGGCCTCCCGTGGGCTTCAGACCTGGCCAGCACGGGCTGCGGGGCCCTTAAGCTCTCCCCTCGCCTCTCGCCGGGAGCCTGGCTCTCCGGTTAGCCTTCCCGGCCCTCACCCCAGCCTCCTGAGGCTGTGACCCTTGAGGTTGAATCGAGGCCCAGCGGGCGTATCCTCGGGGGAACTAACTGCTGGCTGGGTCTGCGCCGCCACACCGGACCGCAGGTCGGGAGCCACCAGGCACGGGGCTCCGGGTCGGGAAATCTGTCCGGCTGTGGCAAATCCGCTGGGATGTTTCGGGGCAGCCACAGCGTGGGTTTTTGGAGAGTCACCTCACAGGCATCCTGGGTCCCCTCTCTGTCCCTGTGGGTGCCCGCGGCTCCGTGGCTTCTGGACGCCTCTGCCCACACCACAGAACGCCTCTCCAGCCCAGGACAGGGGCTTTGGAGACCCTTCCTGCAAACTGTCTAGCAACTTTTTTTTTTTTTTTTAAGGGATGATTGTAATATCTCCTCCTGGATTCTCGGAATCGGGAGCTAATCCTGGTCTCCCCGTAGGAGGTGGCCGATTCTCACAGTCCCCCCAATACAGTAGCAGTATTGTACTGCTCCTTAACCGGAGAGACAGCCCCCACCTCCAAGCTTCACCTTGATTGCAATTTGCTCTTGGAAGCCTGGTGGCGGCGACCCTTACCCTCATTTAAGCCAAAACAGAAAGAACGAGAGTGTAGAGGTCCCTAGGCGTGGGTGAAGAAAATTTAATAAGGATCCAGGAAATCTGCTCTGGGGAGTTCACGCACGGCCTGCTAACTCCCGCTCTGCCCTGCTCTGGGTCCTTCCGGGCTGGCCTTCTGCAGTTCCAAGGCAAGCACCCCCCACCCCCACCCGCTGGCTTCTTTCTCCCAGGCTCAGGGACAGCCTGACTTTGGGAATGGTCCCCGAACCTGCCTTCCTTGCTGGACTCTCCACATCCTCACTGAAGGCCGTGGCTCCTACACACAACAGGACACCGGGGGCATGGGACGCCTTCCCATACGATTCAGTTACCCGGATACTGCAAGGCAGCTTGACCACTTATAGCACTACGCTCTTTTCTAGAATTTCCAAAGGCCTCCACTTTGTCAGCGGAGATTTGGCATGAATGCCCTTTTCGGATCTGGCAGGAGGTAGCCGGGTGGCCCAGGATGGTTCCCCAAGCCCTCCCCGCCCCATACCACCGCACCCCAAGGCAATAGCGCTGCCAGCTCTTCCATTAGGAACCACTATGGGTGAGGCCTTTGCACTCAGCCCATAAAAACCTACTTTGGGCTGAATGCAGTCTGAATAAGGTTTTAAGGGGGGGAAAAAAAGCATCTTGGTACTGTAAAGCTATAGGCACTCCAGAAAAGTGGGGCGTGTGGCCCTTATTTGGATCTAACAAAGGGATCTGTTTATTTGAAAAGCAGGTGGGTGGAGAGGAAAAAGGCTGAGCTGAGCCTCCTGGGGTTCCAATTGTTGGGGGTCTGTCTGGGGACCCCGGTGCTGTGCAAATGGACTGAGGCTGGACTCTCCCAACTGGACAGGCTGGAAACTCCAGGTAGCCCCTAGGGAAAGCCTAGCCTACACACCCCACTTCTTCCAGTTAGCCTCAAGGCACCCCGTTCACTTGTCCCCAGGGTTTGTGGTTGCTGCACCTCCACAGAAGCTGGCTAAATTTGATCTCTCTTCTCTCTGCTAGTCATTCAACAAACAGCTCCCCGAGTAGCTAAATGGGATCCTAGCAGGGCTGCAGATGCAGGTCCCCGATGGTAAACACAGGACCGCAGAACTAAGGTGGTTTGGGAAGGAGCGGCATGGTTCGCAACGTTCCTCAGACAATCTAGCGGACCCCAGGGAAGACTGGCTGGTCCCAGGGTTAGAGTCAGGGCTGGGAGGAACACTGGGGAGAGATAGCTATTCTCACTCAGCAACCTTGGGGATCTAGAAAACAGGGTTAAGGACCAGGAAGCACCTGGTGCCTGCCCTCACCCCTCCACAGAAGTCTGATGACAGTGAAAACTTCAGGACAGATCTGGGAAGCCCGTTCCAACCCTGTCTCACCCTTACCCACCTAACCTTCAGGACGCCAGCCTGGCTGCTGCAGACAGCGCCCCAGAGGGACTGCTGTGGGGTAGGCTACCTCCTCCACCTCTGTGGCATCTCTCTCACTCCCCTCTCGGCCCACTCCAGCCTCCCCTCCAGGATGAGCACGGGACTGGGCGCTGGAGGGTGAAACTCTGCCACTCGGGTAGATTTCAAAGCACTCCAAAGTGGGGCTGGCAGGGGGCAGAGGGATGGTGGGATTGCTTGGTCCTCTTCATCGAGCTCACAGTGGGCTGCCATCCCAGGGGCCTTTCTAAACCCAAAGCACTCATGGGTGGGCGGTTGGCTTGGGGGGCTCCTTTCTAGGGCCACCAAGTGCCCTGAGCCTGTGCGAGGACGTTTGGGGCTAGGGGACCCAGCTGTGTGCCCTAGAAGAGCCACAGGTGTGCCTCTAAACGACGTCTCTGGACCCTTTCTGTTCTCTCCAGGTCCGGAAAAAAAAAATCCTCCCCTGGAGCCTCTTTTCCAACTAATGGGTCAGACACCAGGTGGGAAATGGGTGGCAGGAAGGACACCGGGAGGGGCCGCTGAGGTGAGTGTTGCCCCGGTCCCAGGCCCCAGGTCCGCACTCTGAGGTCACTGCCTGTGCCAAGTGCCCGCTGCTTGTGAGCCTCACCTCCCGAGCCGGGCACAGCCTGGAGAGCTTCCACGTAGAAATGGGGAGACGGTCTTACATTCTATGTCATTATTCTAAAACACAAGCAGCTCAGTGGTTCCACCGCCTGCCTCAAAAGTGCAAGGGTAGTTAAAGGGCTGACTTTAAGAACAAAGGAGTCCGGGATAACCAGGACCTGAACCCTACTTCTGTGTGTGCACACGGGCACTGACATTTCCGCCTCTTCTGACTACACCGTCTTGAGTATGCAGCACTATTATCACAGCCCTCTGCACACACGCGCGTGTGTGCGCACGCGCACACACACACACACACACACACACACACACACCCCTGCCCTGGCTCTTTCCTGTCTGGGAAATGGGGAGAGGCAGCTCATACTCCTTTTCTTACTTTGTTCTCAGGCGGGGACCTTTGGGCTTCCTCCCCCCACCACCTCTGCTCCAGATACGGGGGGGGGGGGGG